ATCTTTGCTGTTATTGTTGTGTGAGATGATATCTCATTGTTGTTTTGATTTGCATCTCTCTAATGGCTAGTGATCGTGAACATTTCTTCATATGTTTTTGGCTGACCGGATCTCTTCCTTAGTGGATTGTCTGTTCATGTTCTGTGCCCACTTTTTAATTGGGTTATTTGTCTTTTTCTTGTAGAGGTATTGTAGTTTCCTATGTATTTTAAAAATGAGTGCTGTATCTGTTCCCTTTTTACTCTTCTTCTATAGGGTTTTATATTGAGAATAAAGTTATTGTTTTTTCATGGATTTCCTTAATAAAGCCTTTTTAAATAACTTTAAGGAGCCCTGGTAGTGTAGTGAGTTACGAGTTTGGCCGCTGTTCTACAGGAGAAAGAGAAGGCTTTTTGCTCCCTTAAAGATTTACAGTCTCAGAAACCCCATGTAGGGTCGCTGTGAGTCAGAACCAGCACCACGGCACACTATCACCACCACCACCACCATAGGCATTTATTGTTGTTAAGTGTGTTAAGTGTCATGGACTCAATTCCAACTTCTAGTGACCCTGTATAGGGTTTCCAGGGAGCCGCTGGTAGGTTTGAACTGCTGACTTTGTGGTTCACAGTCCAGTGCTGATCGATCCTACAGCACCACACCAGGAGTCCATAGACGTTTGTAAGCACATTTAAATTGATTACATCTGTATTTTTGCTAGACATTATGATGTCATTTTTCTACACCAGTGCTCCTAACTGCTGTTTATATAAATCATCAGAGGATCCTGTTAAAATGCAGATTCTGGTTCAGTGGGCCTGGGGTGGGTCCCAAGATTCTGCATTTCCAACAAGCTGCTGGAGTTGGAATCAGTGTTGCTTATTAATATGAGTAACAGTAGGACCAGAATCTTAATCACTTTCATTTTTTTCTGTTATTTTCCTATTAGAAGCAATCACAAAACCAAGCAGCAACATACAAGTGTTCTTTTTTTCTGTGTAATCTGTACACTATAAATCAGAGCCCTCAGTCCATTCAATTTTAGCTTTTTCAATATATAAGAAAATGAAACGTGTGTGCCTGGCCTCAACTCCCTCCTAAGTTCTAGGGACTGGATGCTGTTGTGTGCTGCCATTGTTAGCCAGGTGCTTGAGTTATCTCTATGACTAGGACTGAACAAACAGTGCTCTGCACAATTACACAGATTTAACAGAGGGATTTAGGTAAAAGTATCCTGAAGTAGACCTTTTCATGGTTTTAGATTTTCTTGAAATGCATCAATATAAATAATAATAAAAATAATGAATGTCAAAGTTGAGATGTAAGACCTCTGTTTGATATCTGCTTAGTTTTTGTGTTTTGTTCTCAGACTAATTGTCAGATTTTTGTATGTATGTCCTAGGAATATTTTTTTGATCCAAATATACTAACTGAAGGAGAGCTGGCACCAAATGATAGATGTTGCCGAATTTGTGGGAAAATTGGACACTTCATGAAGGACTGTCCTATGAGGAGAAAGTAAGTTGGTATGGAAAAGGGATGGTTTTATTATTTACTTACTGTTTCAGGTTTTAAATGACGTCCTCTTGAAATGAAGCAACTAAATTGATATATTGATATAAAATCAAGTTCCTTAAGAGTCTATTACATTAAACAGTGACTGAGATGCCCAATGTAAGGATTTATAGTAACTATTTAATAGAGTGTTGTGGTTAAGTGCTATTGAGTCGGTTCTGACTCATAGCAGTCTTATATAGGATTTCCGAGGAGCACCTGGTGGGCTTGAACTGCTTACCTTGTGGTTTGCACTCCAGTATTGTTGCTAAAGCACCACACCAGGGGTCCTAATGGAGCATGTTGTTGTTGTTAAGTGCCATCGAGTCAAATCCGACCCATAGTGACCCTGTATAGGGTTTCTGAGGCGCGACTGTTGAGGTTGAACTACCAACCTTGCAGTTCAAATGGCTTTGCAGTCTAGCGCATTAATCTACAGCGCCACACCAGGACTCCTTAATGGAGTATGTTGTTGTTAGGTGCCGTCAAGTCGATTGCGACCCATAGCGACCCTGTGTAGGGTTTCCAAGGAGCAACTGATGAGCTTGAACCACCGACCTTGCAGTTCAAACAACTCTGCAGTCTGACGCATTAGCCCACAGCTCCATACCAGGACTCCTAATGGAGTATAGGGCTCTTTATTTATGTTTAGCTGAACGGTACACTAATAAATGCTAGTCTCTGGGTACAACCAAATACCTCATGGGATTTTGTTTCTTAGATTGATGTGTAGGGTCATGGTTTCATGGGATTTCCCAGTTAACTGGCCAAATAACATGTTTAGTGCTTTTGTTCTACCTCCTTGTTCATTGTGTAATGTGTGGGGTCTTAAAAGCCTTCCAGGGTATAACAATTTTGTCTCCTCGGAGCGATGGAGGAAGAGGATGGGTCCTGGATAAGAGCAGGAAATGGGAGTGTGTAGCTGATTGCCTCCTTTGCATTGAAACCAGAACTGGATGGTGCCAGAACATTTGGATCAAAGATTCTGTAACAATGCAAAATAGAATGTCAAGTTCACGTAGAATCCATACTATCTAGAGCCATGGAGGTTAGATGAACCTCTGAAAGTATTGCCCTAAGACAGTCTTTAAATCTTAAACCAAACATAGCTCCTGGAGTTGTCTTTAAAAACAAACAATAGATTAGTTTTTAACTAGTGAAAAATGTCTGTCTTGAGCATTATGCTCTTTTAAAATTTATATATATTAGATCCGATTGGCAACAAATCCAGAGATTTGATAGGAGCCTAAAGGGCAGTGGGGTTTTTGTAATGGGGAAGGGGCAACTAAGAAAAGGCAGGTGAGAATGGTGGCACAGCTGGAAGAATGTTGCCAGCATCACTGAAATATACATGTAGAAATCTGAATTGCTGTGTATAGTCTCAACAACAAAATGAATTCTTTTAAAAATAGAACAAAAAAACCCTTGTGGAAAAGCTGTGGAACACAATTCTGTGTCACCCATAGGTTGCTAGCAGCACCTGTTTTATTTTTGGTGTGATAAATGCTGTGAGTGGGTAATGTGTGATCACCATGATTTATTGTTATGGCTTTAGATGGGGTAGGAGGGGGTCTGTGTCTCTGGTTGCTTACTTGGGATATATTGTTTTGGGTGGTAGTGATTATAGATTTTTCTCTGTAGAGTGGATCTTACGTAAGGGCATATTCACTAAAATAAGTCATCATCTGGAATATGACACACTCTTTTTAGTACTTTTTGTTTTTTCAGATACCAGCTCTTGACCATATAGAGCACGGAATAAATTATTTTGATGTTTTAAGAACATAAATCTCTTTATAACCATGATTCCTGTATAGAACTAAAACTTTTACATCTGAAATTCCCAATTCTAGTGAAAAATGCCATTTGCACCAGAAAGGTTATTCAAGGAAACATCTCACATTTGAATTTAGGTACATCAGTGTCAAAGTAGGCATTAAACCAAAGCGTTCTGCTAATTGGAAAACTTGGTTTTGCAACATGAGAGCAATTGTGCGAATACAAAAAAGATAAGCCACATTGTTAGTTCTGAGGTAGTTTCTTAGTATAGACGACTATTGGGTGTCTTAAATTCTTCCCAGTTTCCTCTTTGCTGCCTCCATTTGTAGATATCTCCTATATCTGGAGATGTCTAAATATCTTGTTAGGTTTCTGTTTAGTATTTTAACTGGCATCATAACTTTTTACAGAGTGAGGCGACGGCGAGATCAGGAGGATACCTTGAACCAAAGATACCCTGAGGGCAAAGAGAAAAGAAGCAAAGAGGACAAAGAAATTCAAAACAAGTACACAGAAAGGGAAGTGTCAGCAAAAGAGGACAAGCCCCTGCAGTGCACACCTCAGAAAGCCAAGCCGCCAAGGGCCCCTGCCAACATAGCGGGAGAGAAACTCCTTAGGCCTCCACTAGAGAAGTGGAAGAGACAGGACGACAGAGACTTGCGAGAAAAACGTTGTTTTGTGTGTGGAAGAGAAGGACACATTAAAAAAGAATGCCCACTGTTTAACGGCTCTCCAGGTACGGACACCAGCCACACCTTGGTGTTTGCACTGACGTCCTAAGGGAAATCTCTTTAGAGTCTCTTCTTTCCACATGTTTGCATTATGTTTCTTATATGCAAGAGGGTGCCAAAAAGTTCATGGAAAAAATGGAATTTAAAAATAATGGAATTTTTCCAAGAACTTTTTCTAGTTTGTGTGTGTATACATTTTTTTTTTTAAAGTAGATTTTGTTTTTTAAGGAAGTAACACCCTGCCCTTCAATTCTGAGCCTCTCTCTATGTGTCTTAAATGCCTGATTTTGTTTAGAGTCTTTTGGTTGACCTTTCTAAGATTACTCTGACATGAAAAGTGTCCTAGCTATTCCCAATATCTAAAAATGTAGACAAAGTGCCAAGAATCCTGCTACAATTCAAGCCAGTATGTGCACTCAGGAAATCAAAGCCCTCTGCACAGGTAAGAGGTAATAGCTGGACTCACTGTGGAGTACATATTGTGTTTTCCTTTAAATCCACCTATCACATGCTTAGCGAATGGAGTAGATGGGAATTATGGAGTTGATTCTGAGTCAGGGCCATTTCCTGCTTGTCAGAGGAAGGACGTGCTCGTCTTTGGGAAGTCGATCACCAGGGTGGACTGGAACACCAACCCTTGAGCTAGCAGCTGAGAACATTCACCATGATCAGCACCGAGGTTACCTCTGCAGGGGCACTGATGGAGAAATTTTTATCAAGTTTCTGTGAGGAGAGTAGCTGCTCTAATGATGTGGAAAACCTGTTATCAGTAAGGAGTTCCAAATTATCAACAAATCTTACCTCTCTGAGTTGTAGAATATGAATTGGCCCTTTCTATCTAAAGGGTGATTGTCCACTGTAGATGTCTTTTTAACAGACTGTTAAAAGTAATAGAACCTTGCATGTATTTGCTAAGCTATGATTTTCAAAGCAAACACATTCTTTTCAGAACAAACTTGTGAAAGTGAATGAAATTTTATAAACACAGAAAAGGATCCTTATAAAGTTATGATTCTTCATGCAACCCCAGAGTTGAGATAGTAACCCTATTGCTGCATTCCTTTATGTGTGTGGGTGGAAAGCATTTTTTTTAAATTGGTACTGCTTAACAATTTCCTGTTAAATTTCCACTAAAAACTCCATTGTTTGCTATTTCTCTGGAACTCAGGCAAATTAAAACTTTTTGTTTTAATATTATAAATTAAGAATTTTATTTAAAAGAGATGAATGAGCAATAGCTGTCTTTCATTGAGCATTTACATTACAGTAGTCAGGAATGATTTTAAGCACTGTACATGAATGATTTCATTTAATTTTTACAGCATTGGTGTGGTGTTATCCTCATTTTACAGATGAGGAAACTCCAGTCTTTATTAGATTAGTATAGTTTAACATTGTGGTCCACTTTGGAAGGACAAAGCAATGAATGAATGTCCTGGGCCAGCTCCATATATTTCTGTCTAGTAGCAGGTTTTCAGTAGTTTACCAATGGAGTTCTCCAAATAGAGCAGTGACTCTGGCAGGCTTGGGGACAGCAGCAAAGCAGAAAGACAGCAGTATACTGCAGAGTATCAGAGCTGAGAGGAAGTATTCATTTGCAGTCTTGGGTCCTTCAGGAAGCATTATTTACACGCTAAGTAGTCATCACAAAACGAAAATAAGAAGGGACTGGTAGGATTTGAGAATAAGGAAGATGGTAGGAGAATTGATGCTTTTGAGTTATGGTGTTGGAGGAGAATATTAAAAGTGCCATGGGCTGCCAAAAGAACCAACAGATCTGTGTTGGGAGAAGTGCAGCCAGAGTGCTCCTTGAAGGCCAGGATGGCCAGGCTTCATCTCTTATACTTCAGACATATTGTCAGGAGGGACCAGTCACTGGAGAAGGATATCATTCTTGGTAAAGTGGTGGGTCGCAGAAAAAGAGAAAGACCCCAATGAGATGGATTGGTACAGTGGTGGCAGCAATGGGTTCAGGCATAGCAACATCTGTAAGGTTGGCGCAGGATCGGGCAGTGTTTCGTTCTTTTGTGCACAGGCTTTCTATGAGTCGTTACCAACTCGATGGTTACCTAACAACAATAGTAGGAGTTGAATATAGTGAATTTCTTTCAGTAGCTTTGAAGTAGGAATGATCATCTTCCTGTCTCACAATAACGCTGCTCTTCGTGTTCCTTTAAGTGTTTTGTTTTGTCCACACTGAACACTGAGTGGGGCTTCTGTCATATTACGAGAAATAATTTATGTGAAAGTTTGAAAGCAGGCCTGTTGCTTTCAGTTTAAAGTAGAAACAAAAAGTGCTAATTTCTCTCTTTAGGTTTGTCTAAATCAAGCTGTGTATTTGGCTCCTCTTCTTCACCTAACTCTTTGAGACCAACTGGCACATTTTTTCAGGTAAATCTAGCGCAAAACTCAGAAGGAAGCCCTTCTGTCATCTGTCTACTCATGAGGCACATACTGAATGCTGGTGGCTCTTTACCAGGTTCTTGGCCGGGTGCGGTGACAGCTGGAGATTGGTGTCCTTCCTCTGGCCCTTGCAATCCTCCTCCTGTGCTCCGGGTGCCATGTGACAGGGCTTACTGCACACTGGGTGGCAGAGCCGCGCTCAAGCACCCCTGCATCTGAGTCTGCTTGCAGAATGGTGCCACTTATTTCCTAATTTCAGCTCTCCGTGGGTGTGGCTAGCATCGTAAGGCTGTTCCACATGCAATTTCTTTCAATTTGTAAACCAGTCGGTTTCATTTTTTAGGCAGTGCTTTTACATGAAGAAAAAAAGAAACAAAAAACAGCAATACTTTTGAGTCCTCAGTCAGGTATGTGGGTTTTGAAAACAAATGTGTTGTTATTTCTTTACTGCATAAGTTAGCACATGCCTTTGACACGCGACCTCAGGAATTGGAGAACTTTAAACTACAGTGCCCTGTTGTCATCTTCCTTTTCTAAATTTGATTCCTTGAGAGTTAGGCTTGGCCTGTGTACCTTTACATGGGCTATGGGATTCTCAGTCTACCCCTAACCTGAGTCAGAGCCCGAGTCCTCAGTTATTTGTTCCTCAACCATGCCTTTTGTTTCTGTTTGGAAGCTGCCATTGTCTTGCCAGCTGTGTGTTCTTCTCATGGAGATTATTTGCCGTATGCCAAAGTAAGGAAAGAAAATAACTATTAGCCTGAACTCTACTCTTTACCTCTTTGCCACCTCCTTCATTCCTTTGTTCTACAACTATTTACTGAGCCCCACTAGCAAGTGCTGGACACTAGCTTTGACTGATGATACGGCAGCAAACAGGCAAAGCTCCTCCTCATTTACTCTAGTCTTGTCAAAGCAGAGAGACTATAAAGAGACACATTAATATTTCATGTGACAATAGGGCAGGAAGAGGAAAAACTGTTGGGTAGGGAGGCAGCCTTTATGATCAATAAACATTTTAGAAAAGAATTGCACAAAATGCTGAAAGTAGTCAAAGGGGAAATGGAGTTGGCTGTTGCATAAAGACTTAGTCACAGTATTTGTCCTGTGACATCACAGAGTAATGTGGCAGGAATGAACTGAGCAGGGGAGAGGGGTAAAAGGTGATTTCTTTGGGCCTTGATCAGGAGTCACTTTGCAGCAGTAGGGACTGGGTTCTGGTCTTGAAAATTCATATGGCTGCCCTGTAGAAACAAGGTGGAGAGTCATAAGCCAAAATCTGAGGCTCGGGGAAGAGATGATGCCAGCGTAGACTTGGATGGAAACAGTGTTAGAACTGAGGAGTGCTAAACTATGGGTATCTTAAACGACGAACAAAATGTGTTGATAGATGGACAGTAAAGCACAAGAGAGAATGAGTCAAGAGATGACCCTCACTTTGTCTTGCATAACTACAAGGCTAAAGGTCCAATTTACTGAACTGAGGGAGACTTAGGAGGAACAGATTTGAGGGAGAAAATTGAGTTCTGTTTTAGAAATGGTAAGATTAAGAAAAACCCACTGGCATCAAGTCGATTCCAACTCCTAGTGAGCCTCATGGACAGATAGAATTTTGTAGGGTTACCAAGGCTGTAAATCTTTGTGGGATCACACTGCCACAACTTTCTCCTGTGAAGCACCTAATGGGTTCAAACTGCCAACCACTTGGTTAGCAGCCCTGCACCACCAGTTTAAGATACCTGGTAGGTATTAAGGTAGAGATTATGAGAGACCAGTTGGATGTATAAGCCTGGCACGTATCAGAGAATCACTACCCTGACGTGAAGAATATGCGTACCCTCAATGACTTTGCTCAGTCTTGCACACACTCTGTCTTGATTCTTTTCAATTAAAAGAGTTAAAGGAGGGAAATTACAGAAGCAATATGTAGTATATGTAGGTAGTATATATGTGGTAGTATAGGATAATCACTGGGCTGCTAACTGCAGGGCCAGCAGTTCAAACCTACCAGCTGCTCCTCGGAAACCCTATATAGTAGGCGTAGGGAACATCTGGCCTGAGGGCCGTATAAGGCCCTTGAAATCATTTAGCGTGAGTGCTATAGAAACCGCAGCTTGAGCCATCACGTTGTTGTTTTTAAGTCCCGTCAAGTCTGTTCTTTCTAGTCAGTGACCCTGTATAGGGTTTCCAAGGAGCAGCTTGTGAATTTGAACTGCCAATCTTGAGGTTCAAACCATCCTTGCAGTTTAGTGCTTTATCCTACAGTGCCAGCCATTGCATTTGTTGTTGTTGTTATGTGCCGTGGAGTCAGTTCCGACTCATAGTGACGCTGCACAGGGTTTCCAAGGCTGTAAATCTTTACAGGAGCAGAAAGCCTCATCTTTCTCCTGTGGAACAGCTGGTAGTTTCAAACTGCTGACCTTGAGATTAGCAGCTCGATTTGTAACCACTACGCTACCAGAGCTCCTTAGCCATTGCATTAAGGGTGAGTTCATTAAATGTTTGACCAAATATAGCAGACTTTTTAAGTTGATTATTTTGTATGGCCTGCGAATGATGTCAAATTTTGGCAGAAAGAAGGTTCTTCCTGTTGTTGCTGTGTGCTATTGAGTCAATGCCAACTTATAGCAACCCTTTATAGGGTTTCTTAGCCTGTGGGCTTGAACTGCCAACTTTGCATGTCACTGGTCCAGTGCTTATCCTATAGCACCCTCACAGGGTTGCAACTCTTATATGTTGTTGTTAATTGCCATCAAGTCGGTTCTGACTCATAGTGAACCTGTATAAGGCTTCTGAGGACTGGCTGCTGGGTTCACAGTCCAGTGGTTATCCTACAGCACCACATTTAGTATGTATCCTTGATGTATCTGCTTTGTCATGTGTATTCAACAAAGTTATTATGAATTTTTATGGTTCATGATGTTGGGCCTTAAGAAATCCTTCTAACCTGAGGTCATAATGACATCGTCCTGTTTTCTTGAATAGCTTTAAAGTTTTATCTTCTTATTAGGATCTTTAACCTATCTGGCATTTATGTGTGTGAAGTCTGAGGTGGTGCTCTGACCCTTTTCCCCACAGACTATTCTCAGTGCTTTGTGTGGTTCAGACGAGCCTGGCTGCGTTGCCCAGTAGATGCCCACTCTGGTAGAAGCAGCACATCAGTAGAGTGCCTTGTGTTTCACTCAGGGAATCATCTAGATGCTCTGCCTTGAAAAGTGTGCTTTGTTGGGTGGGTGGGGGAGATACATTTTTATTTACGTACTTAATAGGTTTGCTTTAGAAAATGTAGAAAGTACAATGAAATAAAATGAATAAACAAACAATCATCCATATGTTCCCTCCATTCTGCCATTCACACTGGGTAGATTTGGGGTAAAGTCTCCCTGACATTTTACATCAAATATAATTACAACCATTAGCATTGATTAATTTCTCTGTAGCTGGCTGCTGTTCCAATTGCTTTACCTGAATTACTTTATTGCTACCTTTATCATGACTCCAAGGGAGTAGCTATAATTATTACCCTCATTTTACAGATGAGGAAAATGAGGCACCAAGTATATGATTGGTGTGATATTTTTTGTTTGTTCATAATTAATAGCTTTTATGAAAATACTAAGCATGTGGTTGTATAACTTTTTGTTTTAATGTTATTAATTCTCCTTCTATGCCTGCCTAGTAGCTTTTTTTGTGTGCAGGGTTCATAATATACAAGGGTAAGTCAAAATGGATTGCTACAATTCAGGGAAACCTTTATTAAGCAAAAATATCAAAATGTGAAGCTGTTGTTTCGCAACATATCCTCCATCTACATCTGTACATTTCTGAAGATAGCATTGCCAGCTCTCTAGCTCTTCTCCAAAGAATTCTGTCCTTTTCCATTTTGTGGTGGTTGTTATGTACTGTCCAGTTGGTTCCGACTCATAGCGACCTTGTATAGGGTTTCCAAGGAGCAGCTGGTGGGTTTGGACCACCAACCTTGCAGTTTACTGTCCAGTGCTGACCCTCCAGCACCACACCAGGAGTCTTCTTCCTTTTATACCCCCATCAACATGGCGGTTTGGGCATCCTCAAGGAACTCAACAAGTCTTGTTTTTCAGTGCTCTCTGAGCTCAGGAAACAAAAAGAAGTCTGAAGGGGTAAGATCCGGTTGGGAGGGTGGATAGGGTACAGTTTTCCAGTGAAGTCCTCGCAGGACAGCCCTTGGCACCCTCAAAGATTGAGTGGGTGCATTGTCGTGATGGGAAACAATTCCGTGGTGCAACTTTCCTGGCTTTTTTTTTTTATCACCAGTGCAAGTTTCAGTTTTCGTAAAACTTCTTCCAAATAAGTCCTCATGATTGTCCTGTGTCCTTGGAGAAACTCTGTTAAGATGACTCCTTTTGGAATCAGAAAAAAAACAAAAACAAAAAAAAAACCTGGCAACAGAACCTCTATGCTATTTAATCTGCCTTGAATTTAACTGGCCAAGTATATCCCCTTGGAAGCCACTGTTTTAATTGCACCTTTTTTGGAGGGAAAGGCACCCAAACGAGACTAAGACAAGTGCATTAATACTAAGTGTGCCACCATTCACTGATCCCAGATACATGTTTAAACCCATTTTGTTTTTTGAAATAAATCAGTGCATGTATGAACTGGAACTTGAGTAGCAGCACTTTTTGACATACTTTTTAGTACTTCTCATAGTATAAATGTTGGACATTTAGTTGTTTGCATATGTAAATTATTATTAATAAGGTTTATATGACTATTCACTTAGCAAAATTTCTAACCTCCCCTCTGTCCTGATCTTTCCTCAAGGGATTTAAAACTCAATAATCAGTGTTTAAATTTCTTTTGTTACCCACAGATAACCAAACTTTTTGTATATGTACTCACATTCCATTTTTCTCTATCCTGTATGGCTTTTTCTTTACATAGCTGTTGTTCGTGTTTTTGCCATTGGAAGTTCTTTATATACTAAGCATAGCTTATCTTCTAAGCATGTTTTGGAATGCTTAGGAAACTTGCCCCAAAATTCACTATTTCTTGTACTCTGATAGTTTCATTTATATGTAAGTCATTTCATGTAAGTTTCACTTAATATGTAAATTCATTTGTAACTGCATGGGAGAAAGGATGCACCCAGCCTCCAAAAATTATTTATTGAATAATTCAGCATTTTCCCTATTGATTTGAACTACTATCTTTACAATACAAGAGAGCTTTAAAAAGTTCATGGAAAAATGGAATTAAAAGATAATGGAGTTTTCCAAGAACTTTTTGAAGCCCCCCTAGTGTACTATTTTCTTGTAATCACTTCAGAATTTCTCAACTTTCTTCTGTTTCTATGACCTATTCAGAACCAAGATTTCTTCATTGTTCTTCCCTCCTTCATGTTACTTACCTGTAAATGTCTCCTTTTTCCCTTGCTATCAATGAGTTTTCATTAGCGTGATCAACTAACCATATCTGCAGAGGGGTGATGCGAAATCTTTATTTCTGCCCCAAAAGTTGTTTGCCGTTTACGTCTGTATTATTCCAAATGAAGACCCTGATCAGTGCACAGCAAGACCTTTGACAAACTGGGTTCACGCAACCCTCTGCACCAACATGAAATGGATTTTTTTACGTAGCATCTAGCTGGTGCCAACTCCGAGTGACCTGATGTACACCAGAACAAAACACTGCCCAGTGCTGTGCCGTCCTCATGGTCATCGTGATGTTTGAGCCAACTGTTGTGGTCATAGTGTCAATGCACACATGGAAATCATGTTGTGTTGAGTGCCGTTGAGTCAGTTCCAACTCACAGCCACCCTGTATAGGGTTTCCAAGGAGCAGCTGGTGAGCTTGAACCACCGACCTTGCAGGTCAAACCGACTTTGCAGTCCAGTGCATTAACCTGCAGCGCCAAACATGGAAATGGTGAACATTTATCACTCTAGCTATTTGTCTGCGTTTAAAAAGCATTTTGACTAAGTTTGTTTGTAGTAGGCCATGTTCCACGTGTAACTTCTATCTAGCGTGACGAAAAACAAGTGACCATTTCCATTGTGAACAATGTTTCTGTTAATCATTAACAATACGGAGTTCATTTTGTAGCTTTTGAGATAAAATAAGTGTGTTTTATTTATGTTGGGTTTTGTTTTTCCTTCCCCTTTAGGTAGCCTTTCCAGTAAATATATGGCTCAGGGAAAAAGCCTCACAGAAGAGGACCCAACAGGAATCATGAGGGAACGAGACTGAAGCACTGGCCATTCAGACGTTCAGTTCACACTCACCCTGACAATTAGGTTCACGTCACAGGACATACAGCGTACATCAGCCTTCAACTCAACATTGAAGGGAAATGTCAGATTTTTTAATTTAATGGAATTGTTAATGAGGAAAAAAATTTTAATAGAATCTTATCTACTACAGATTCCCATAGATTTAAGGATTTTAATAGAAAGCCATGATGTAAGCCAGGTTTTTAAAAAAAGAAAAAAGAAAAAAAAAAAAAAGATGTAACTATGGGCCAGTATTCAATGAATACAGCAGTTTGGTGGTTTTTAATTCCTTCAAAGTACACTAAAATGGTGTGCTGATGAGCCCCAAGTAAATTAACCCTTTCTTCCTTATAAAATCCCTTTTTAATTTTGAAGAGGGGAAATTATATTTATTATTGTTTACTGAATCCTTGTGTGGAAGTGTATCAAATATGTGTGAACGTGAACTGCTACTACTGTATTTACAAACATTTTATTGTTTTGTAGAAAAAGTGGAAACATGAACTCGAGTACATATTTATGTGAGCCTTTCAGTGGCTGCACAGTGGCCCTGAGGGTTTTGGGTTTTCCCTCTCTAAATAAGTTGACACAGAACCACTGGGCTCATAAAAAATGAGATAAGGACAAGTGGTCCTGTTTGCCACTAAAAATATTTTCAAAGTAAAAGGGACAAAATAAAAGTGCTTTTTACTCTATGAATTCAGAAATTAGGGTGGAGAACTGTAAGAATCCCTTACAGAAGATGAAAGAGGCCATCGCTGCCAGTCCCAAGTTTGCTTGGCGTCTTCAGATCTGACGGGAGCCCTGGTGGAACTGTTTCTGTAACTTCACAGCCCTTTCAGAAGTAGTACATGGTCAGAACTCTGCCTCAGTTTATTTATCATTTTGAAATAAAATCAATTTTCAACCTGTAATTTTAACCACATTAATTTCTCATGAACGAGAGCTAAATTTCATGAGGAAAATCGATGAAGGAACCAGGTCAGGACAAGTCCGCTCCTCTTGAATGAGTGCACGCAGAGACTGGTGTTCACGGATGCCCACTTGTGCTAATGCAGCTTCTGGGTAGGGATACCCCTGAGAGGGCTGCAGAGTGGTGAGCCGGGCACGGGGCACGAATTCTCGCATAGGAGAGCACTCAGAAAATGCATACTGACGTGCCCTTTGAAAAGCCTTTTTTTTAGTGCTGTCCTGTCCTGTGCCCCCTGAGGCCAGCCTAGTTTTTGTTCTTTTTAGTTGAATTTTCTGCCTGGATGCTTCTGTGCTTTTTACTTGTGTCTCAGGGAGGAAATTGGCACACTTTTGTCCCTTCAGTGAAGTTTGTCAGAAACAAAAATGATCCAGTGTATTTTCCTACTCACAATAGTTTTTCTCAAAAATACTTTGGTCTTTCCTCAGTATTTCTCCTTTTATCATCTCTTCCCTTTTCTTCTTGCTAGAAAAACGTCCCAATTTTATTTCCCTATCACTGATTCAATTTTTCATGTCAACCAGCTCTTTCCTGAGAACTCTAATGGGAATCTTACTGCATGTCTAATTTGCTTGAGCCTACCTTTTCCTTTTGTCTTCTCTCACATTCTCTTCATATTTCCCTGTATTCTTTTAAGGATGTTAAGTTTCCCAAACTTTATTCTGATTTCTGTTAAGTGCCATCAAATCAGTTCTGACTCACAGTAACCCTGTATAGGGTTTCCAAGGAGCAGCTAGTGGGTTTGCACCACTAACCTTGGTGCTTAGCAGTCCAGCGCTTACCCCACAGTGCCACACCAGGACCTCTGATTCCTATGTTGTTGTTGTTGTTAAGTGCCTATAGTAGATATTTTTTAGGAAGGTGGGCTTCCTTTGAACCTTGAAAACAATATTCCCTTGCTCCTTTTCTGCCCAGTGTAGTGGGAGTTTTGTTCGATTTTTCATTTTCTCAAGGATTAACAGGAAAATGGCCAGTGTTGGTCAGCAGACCTGGTGAATTGATAGCCCTTGGTTCTTTGCTGCCCTTGTTTGGATGCTGCTCAAAGCTCCCTCTGAGTGCTCAGCTAGTGCCTGCTGTGTGCTTGACTCAGTTCCCTGGACTTCACTATCTTTCACAGACAGCTGGTCTGGCTCATGCTGATTCTGTTTCCCTTCAGGAATAAACAAAAGTATGAAACCCTTTCATATGGAGGAGTGGTCCTGTGGCCCCCAATCTTTACTTTCTTAATCTCTGGCTCAGAGTGTACAGTGCCGGTAATTTACAGATTTTAATGTTTTTAATGTGTTTACTACATAATTCCAGGGGTTTTTTTGTACTTCATTTTGAAATGTGTCCCACAATGACTTCTTTTTTTTTAAAAAAAAGGTTGAAAACTTAACCAACCCGATAAAATTGTAACAATAATGTACCTACTGGTGTGGCACTATAAAATAAGCTCTGGACTACTGACGGAAAGGTTGACAGTTCAAACCCACTAGCTGCTCCTTGGAAACTCTACAGTAGGGATGGGGAATTTCTAGCTAAATCATTTGGTTTGGCCCTGCCAAGGCAACCACAGTTCAGCCATCATGTTAAGTGCCATCAAGTTGGTTCTGACTCATAGCAACCCTGTATAGGGTTTCCAGGGAGTGGCATGTGAGTTTGAATCACCAACCTTTTGGTTGGTTAAAACCATCCTTGGGTCCAGTGCTTTATCCCACAGCCCTATTTCAGGACTTCAGCCATCACATAAGGGGTGAGTTAATTAAATGTTTGACCAAATACAGCAGACTCATTTTTAAGTGTATAGTTTAGTATGGTCCACAGATGTTATAAATTTTGGCAGAAATAAGGTTCCCCACCTGTCCCCACAGGGTCGCTATGAGTCAGAATTGACTCTTCTACATTTAACAGCAGTGACGTGCCTGAGAGCAAGTGTGTGTGGATAACAGCAGTCACGAACTTCACACATGTTCACCGAGTGAAATCTTAAGCTAATTCAGGGTTTCCAGGTCTGTATATGACAAGTCTCTTGGCAGGTCCCTTTCTTGCCTGTAAAACTGAGTACACCTGCCTTCAGAGTCATGAGAATCAAGTGAGTTTGATGTTAATATGAAAACACTTTAAACATGTTGATGTTATTGAGAATATGTTTGTATTTCTATGTTTATGTTAAGTGCCGTCAGGGTGATTCCAGGAGCAGCTGGTGGGATTGTGGTTTCCAATCCAGTGCTGATCCTACAGCACCATACCAACAGTCCTTTATCATATTAAGTGCAGGTGAGACAATTCTGACTCAGCGACCCTGTGTAGGGTTTCCAAGGAGTGGCTGGTGGGTTTGAACTGCCACCCTATATTTCAAAGTGACCTTGCAGTCTAGTGCTTATTTCTAGAGTGCCACACTGACTTTTACCATATTGTTAATAAGTGCCATCAAGTCTTGTTCATACTCAAAGCAACCCTGTATAGGACTCCTGAGGTTTTACATCTTCAAGGGAGCAGACTGCCTCATCTTCTGTGAAGCAGCTGGTGTGGTCAAACTGCGGACCTTGTGGTTTGCAGTTCAGTGTTTATCATATGGAGCCACCGCACTCCCTTACCATATTACTGCTAATCTAAAAATGGCTGCAGCCTGCAATCCCCTTCCATGGTTTTCACACCCACCTTATTTCCATATCACAAGACAGCTGCAGCTCTGAGATAAAAGAGCCCACGTATTACTTGGCAAGCAATGAAAAATCGTCTTAACAAACCAACTCACTTTTTGGATCTGCAAAACAGCTCACCAAATTAAAACCTGAACAGCATGTATTAGACACAGAAGCCTGTCCTGAACAAGCATTAGAATTAGAATTTAAGGCTGTGTTTGCCTCACAGTTGTTAGGCTAGTGTGAGAGGTTATACTGATGGTTCTTTGGGAGCCTGTAAAATGCTACATAAATTAGTTATTACAATAACAATGAGCAATGTGTGTTGATTGCTGCTAGATTCCAGGCAGTCTTCAAAGGATTTTTCAAGTATTAACAGTTCATCCTCACAACATCTTTACAAGGAAAGGCATGAGAAGTAAACTGCTTACCCCAAATCACCTAGCTAATCAATGATGAATTCAAGAGACACACCCCACCACACTACCTCTTAGTTTCTTTTGTGTACAGCTTGAGTTAAGGAATACCTACCTTTTCACAGACAATGCGATTGCATTTCAGTTACCAAAGAGACAAGTCATTTTGAACTGGCCTTCTCTGACCTTGTACATGGTAAGGACTGAAAGGTTGAGGGGGGTGGGGGGTGGCGGTGGCTCTACAAAAAGTTTCATTAGTTTTTTTCACGTCAAAACACTGAGCAAGAATCATCTCTTCTGGCAGCACCATTCCAGACAACCCCATCTCCCTTCTAGCACATCCAGAGGACATGATACCTGCTTTGATATTCTCTACCAACTGCTGACCCACCGGCACCTCGAAGGCTTCCCTGGATCCTCTGGTTTGCTGGGCTTATGCCCAAGCCTGGCAGGCAGTGGGTGCTCAGTAATATATTGGCTGAATTAACAGCATTTGTATCCTGAGCAAGACAAACTGATGTCTGGTGGAGTCTGTTCACTGGACCTCGCTATGCTATAAATGTTGAGTCCTGGTGTAGTGCTGTGGGTTAATGCACTGGATTGCAAGGTCGGTTTGAACGGGAAGGTAGGTGGTTCAAGCTTACCAGCCACTCCTTGGAAACCTGATACAGGGTAACTGAGCTGGAACCAACTCAACAACACTTAACAACAACATGACTTGGAACACCCAAGGGGCAGTGGTGTTCTGTCCTTTAGGGCCACTATGAGTCAGAATTGACAAGCCAAAAAAGAGCAATAAAACGCAGTTGTCAAAGCTGTCATTATCACCCAATTACAATGGCCCTTCAAATCACTGGTTTCATTTGCACGTGATATGAGCACACTGTTTTCATTGCTATTTTTGTGTTTTTACAGTGGCTAATTTTATCGAATTTTCTGGTGTTTTAACT